CGGGCCGGCCGCGCAGGCGCAGTGCGGGCGGCCGCCGGCTGAGGGGAGCGAGGCGGGAGCAGGTGCAAGGGCGGCTCGGCGGTGCCTGGAGCCGCCTCGGGGACCCCGCTTCTCCCTCAGTGGGCGTCCGGGGGGGGAAAGAGGTGCTTATTAGCTTAATTTGCCTTTTATTTTCAAATAGGTAGGGCTTTACCAGACGGGGGAATAAATGTTTCAGTCAGCTTTTATTGCCTTTCTTCCTTTTCTCTTCTTCGCAGTTTGGGGTTGGTTCTTCTCTCCTTCCCCTCTCGCTCCCCTGTGACGGGCAGGCCAAGGCATTGGCGCTCGCGGCGCTCGCTTTACCTCAGGCTGTTGGTACGGAGGTGTCGGCTTTTCAGCTGACTGCCCCGAGAAGCCTCCGCTGAAATCCCTTCCCCTCCCAGCACTGGTAAAACCAGCGATCGCAACGGGATCTCGCCATCTCCCTGCCCCACCGCCGGTGGTTGGTGGCGTTTCCCTGACCAGCAACTTGCCCAGCCTCCTCCAGGCACCACCGAGGGGCCTTTCGCACGCTCTCCCCTCCATCTCCTGGACCAAAGCCTTTACGGTGACTTCATGGCGCAGAGAGGTTCGCCCAGACCCAGACCGTTGCTGGGGGCTGCAGGAGAAGGATCCTCCATGGCAAAGGCTGGTGGGGCTGCGGGTGCAGTCGCGGTTCATCCATTCTGCACCCTGCGTTTCAGCCCCAACAAACCCTCTGCCTGGCGTGGATGCACCAGCTGCTCCTCGCACCCTTTGCCTCTTACCTCCTCCTGCCAGCTTGTCTCTCGCCCTCCCTCTCCCACGATCCACGTAGTGTGGATGGCTGCATGACACCCTCGGGGTCAGTTTCCCCACCGAGGGACAGGAGGGGAGCTACTCCACCCGAATTGCGAGCTTTCCTTCTGGCAGACAGCAGATCAGATGGTATCTACCTCTCCCTCCCACAGTGCACCAGCACCCGTGTCACTTGTTGTCACTTGGTCTTGGTGAGCACAGCTCGCATTCCTCCTCTGGGGTGAGTCACCCTCCGCTCAGCTCCTGGACCACCCTGGCTGCTGCGATCCCAGCCCCATGGACAGGAGAGGCCCGCTGGCCATCGCTAGTTAACTCCGCTGTAGAGCCGCTGCACCTGGAGCTTGGAAACTAGCAGGTGTTTGGGAGTAGGGATCAGCTGCACTGGGACAAGGAAGAGGAGCTATGTCAGCCCCTGGAGGCCTGGATGGACAGGGAAGTCCAGCTTATCCCAGCGCTGCCTGAAAGTCGGAGCCGAAGCAAGGTTACCGCACGCTGATGTACGGACAGCTGCTACTTCTCTCACATGAGAAGAGTCAATCAAAACTCTGCATGAATTACACTGACTTGAATTACATTTCATTTTGATGGCACTGATCATGGCAGGAGGTCCGGGGAGAGCTCTGAAATGGATCTGTCACTGGGTAGGGCCAGGGGAACACCAACGTTCTTCCCAAGTTGCAGACAGACAGCTGTAGTGTTAGCTGTGGTTCCTGTGCCTCCTTCAGGTGAAACCACTGCAGCGTATTGTTGGGCAGTTAGAAACCTGATGCGTGGTTGGTATTGTCTAAAGCATGGCTTCAGAACTTTTTAAAACATTATCATTTAAATCAAAAGGAAACCAAAAGAATGAGTCATAATCCTCAGATTGGTATATGGCCATTTGCCTTGGCCACATGTTTAGAACAGAATGGACTACTGAATGAATCAACGTGACAAAGGATTGCACTCCCTGGCCGCCCCTGATGTCAGGCAAGATGTGGACTAAGCAGAGTGCCACCAACACTGCGTAAAGATCCGCAGTCTACCAAAGAACAAAAAGGAACAAGACATATTAGGAATATTAATACATATTAATAATAATAATCATTATTTATATTATAGCCTAGATATGCTTACTTCTTTATTAAAATGTTTATTTATTTATTCTATGGAAGTCTTTTTTTGCACAATTGACACCAATAATTATTGTTTATAAAATATTTATATGATCCAGTTTAGCGTTTCATCTATTTCAGATTAGATAACTTCTCTGGATTGCAATTAATTCCTTTATATTGGCAATATGATTGTACATAGATAATTTTACAGAGCAATTAAGCCTTGAGAAGAGCTGCAACAGAGCTGCAAAGCTTGGTGAACCGGGAGAAGATGAACAATCTAACCAGAGTAACTTCTTTTGTGCTTTGATATTGGTTTTAAAAAATGTGATGAAGTTTATGACAAACTATTCTCATTAGTTTAACTTTCAGCCTAAAAGCACGCGGACATGCTTTTAAAATCAGGTCAGTGTCTGAGGGCTTCCAAACACATCCCAACTAGTTTCCTACGTTTGTGCACCCAGCACGATGTGCTGGTTCTAAGCAAGCTGAGACCCATGTCTTTAGTTAAAGAGAGCAGAAGGAGGAAGGCATCCAAAGGCATAGCATGAAAGCAGCCTCCAAGGAAATCTGCAGCATGGTAGTCAGAAAAAGATTATTTTTTTAAAATATCGTTAATTAGCCAGTGTTGTCATCTTCTACTTGGTAATCTACATGTTCCAAAAACCTGGACATCTCAGGTGGGCAAATTTCCGTTCAGAAAAGCAGGCCTGGGGCTGCTGATCCCAGAGGAACACATGAATTCCCAGCTGCGCTCCAGCCATTTGTCCAGCGCTCCAGGGTGCTTGTGCTGGCAGCAGGCAAGTCTGCGTTCTTCAGGAAAGGTGCAGAAGGTAACAGGAAGGTGTGGGACAGCCTGCCTCAAGGAAGGTCTCCTCCCAGTTCCCATTCGAGATACAAACTTTTTGTATTCCTTCCAGAACTTTTCGGTAAAAAACCCGAGATACCTCATTTCAGAACTATTTCAAGCCATTTGCTGCTTGTTCATGACACAAATTAATGCCAATAGAAATGTTACAAAGTCCAGATGATCAGTGCATATAGTAATGCACGTGAAAAAGCATTTATTCATGAATTTCAGTGAAGATTATTCTACTGTAATGTTTGATGAATGAGCAGTTGCTTCTTCACTAATTGAACTCACTCAGGTTTTGCTTCAGGTTAGCAATGAGATTGTTGTAAGGGGAAGATGAAATACCAGTATACTGGATAGTATTTATGAAGCGTAGTAGGAAGAAAGCCGTCAGAGCTTTGTATGTTGCCACCAGTGATCCCTCCAGGCAGCTCACCAAAAGACAAAAACAGCAGTAGAAGAACTTTGCCTTGCTACAAACTGAATCACCACAGCCAGGAACTTTCCTGGTGGGAAACCATAAAAGTGCTTGAATCAATGCATTTGTCAGAAGTTCTAAATGTTACAGCATGCAGTAAGGGACAATCAATTCACTTACCAGTAAAGAAGGCACACAAAGTATTATATGCATTAACCATGACCAAATTTAAATTGTTCAGAAGACATTAAATTTAGAAATGTGTTTTGATTAACTATTGAACTATCAGATTTTTTCATTTGGCTCCATCAATGTTGTAAGAGGGAAAATGGTGAAATAAATTAGTGCATCAATTTGAGGTGCACGGGATTTTCTTGCACAGCCTGTCAAATTTATATGCTCCTTGCATTGAAGCTTTATAGCTGATATGCCTTGTAAAGACTGCTAGCAGTGCCAACAAAGCTTGTCTGTTCTTTGAATCAACAAGTGCAGGCTTAAGTGTATGCATGTGCAATAGTACAACTGCTATCTGCTTCAATACAGAGGCTGGTTTATGGCAGCTTTATAGTATACATTCTTAAAAGAAGCTGTTTTCAAGCAACCATAATTTTTTTAAAATAATAAAATCAAAACCAACAATGTGTCTTTCAGCACTAATTAATTTTTTTTGTTTATTATGTAACATGTTGTTCACTCCATAATTTGAGGTGGGGTAACTCAGGCACACAGGGATTACACAGCTTTTGCACAGGGAGTCTTCCACAGGATCTGAAACAGATCCAGCTCTTTTGTCTTCCAAACTGCCTGCTAGATGCCATCTGTCCTTTCATACATTCAACTGCATCAAAACAGGTTTTTTCCAAACCAAATATGTTGGCATGATGCATCAGAAAGTATCCAGAGATGTTAATGCTCAGTGCAGGTTTGGCCAAAACTTCCCTTTGATTTAAGTTCCCACTAGGTTCCACCTCACTTGCATCTCCCAGCATCAGCACTGAATTTGATTTCTGGTCTGTGCCAACTTCATGTTTTGAACATCAGCCATTTTTGCTGTGGCTGTGTCTGAAATATCAGAATTAAAATATGTTTAATATCCTGGCTTAAATGCTCAAGGGCCAGATCCAACAGAGAGAATTCCTAGTGAAGCAAATACAACTTTCATTTCCACAGGACTCTATATACATATGGACATTTCTTCTCCATCTTTCTACCCAAAAATCTGGTCCCGAGAAGAAGACCAGGGAAGTAGTGGACAGCTTTCTCCCAAGCTGCATCAGGTTTTATTCCCAAGTAAATATAACTATGGTTTGACTCCAGATTGTTATGTTTACAGGTTTTAAACTGTAGAACTAACCCTGTTTACTGCAAATCTGGACAGTGACTGGAAGTGTTGGCCTGCAGTGCTGGGCTGCATCCAACTTAAACTGCTGCTGGTCCAGAAGAGGAATCATTAATCCAGTGCTTCCCAGCCCCATT